TGGAACAGAGCTTGGGACCATTTGCTGTTCATCTGTGGCGTATGCTCGAGAATTCGACAGGTTCTCATCAATGTCCTTTTCAATTTCATCACTGTCAGGCACCCTGGCAAAATCCCTGAAGACCGGCCTTGACGGACAGTGTGACAATCGTGAGAGCTTTCGGTTCCGTGATCGCGCGATCCTCGCCTCCGAAGGTATGCCATGAGTGAGGTTATGATCTGCTCAATTGGTCCATCTGCGACAGTGGAGGTGGGTGGCTCAGTATCCACGGCAAGCAATTACATCCAAGAGTGCTGCCGCAGTGCAGCAAGCCAACCAAATCATAGTGGCAAGCAAAGAAACTGGACACGTCACTTTGCCGTTTATCGACGCAGATTTCTGCGCACTGCCCCCCTCCTGCTACTTGTGATACTGAGACATGATACATTCCGCTACTGTAGGAATAAAAGTGCTTCCGCCAGTACTAGCAGTACTTTACTAGCAGCAGCAGCAGCAGTGGCAGTGGCAGTGGCAGCAGCAGTAGCAGCATCAGGAGCAGGAGCAGTCGGCGGAGCCGGAGTCGGAGTCGGAGGAGCAGAAGCAGTAGCAATAGCAACAGCAGCGGCAGCAGCTGTACTAGAGTGTACTAGTCCATGTTCATTCCTGTTGTTGTCGTCGGTGTCGGGGCCTTTGTTATCGTTGCCGCATCGTCGTGGTCGTAGTTGCATAGTTGTGGCAGTCGTCGCCGTCGCCGTTGTGTTCTCTATCATGATGGATAGTTACGACTAGTTATGGCGATGATGGCCACTATGATTGTTACTATTGCTGTTGTGACTTATTCCCCAAGTGCGGCAACGCTATGGGCTTCTGGCAGATTGGGCTGTGTGCGCTGCGCACGGGAGAATGGCTTAGCTACTCCCCGCGTCCTATATATTATTTGTGCAGCACGAGCTCGTGCTGTGTCAAGGTTCCCGCTGTGGTGCGGTCCATACTTTTCGAGTACTTGAGGGAAGTGTTCCCGCCGTGCTCCTGAATCCTCCTGAATCCCGGCAGTACTTGCCCGAAGGCATTTGGGGCGTGGTGCTCGTCCCTTCGGGCCGTCCTGCTCACGGTGTAATTTGACGCCTATCCGGGGAAAGCATCCGGGACGTGGTTCTGAATGTGCCAGTACTGCTACTTGGGGAAAAGCATCTCGGCAGTGTCCTGGTGGTTTCTTTTCTGGTGCTGTTGTGCTGGTCTTCTGCTGCTCTCCTGCTGCTCTCCTGGTGGTCTCTCCATGGTCTCCGAATGTGGTGGCGGCCTCTTGGTGGTCCCATGCTGGTCTCCCGGTGGTCTCTTCTTAGTGGTCTCCTGGCGGTCTCGTGAGATCTTTTGTGTTCTCCCGGTGGTTTCCTGGTCGTTGTCGTCCCGGTCGCAGTGCTCGTCGAAGGTGGTCTTTTGACGCTCCGCTGGTGTTTTTTCTTTCTCTGGATAGTGGCCTGGTGGGTCTCTTTGCCGTCTCCGCGTGGTCTGTTTGCTGGCTCCAACTGGCGTGTTCGAGTATGCAGCTGTAGTACGCGGAATGCTTCCCCAAGGCTCTTGATTTCTAGGGCCTCAAAACCGGTGTTTCTGTTTGCGCACAACGAAGTACAAATGTAGTGCGCGGGATGCTTCCAAAAAGCCGCCTCAATGCTCCACGGCAAACTGCGCTCTTGGTAGTACGCACAAACGCAGATGATGGCAACGAGTTGCGACCTGTAATTTCCCAAGCATAGCGAACCGCCTCGTCGTGACTTCCTGGTATTAATGGCATGCTTCAGGTGGGTCTTTCACGGTTTCGGGAATCTCCGCTTTCATAATTGCCACCGTTTGTACCATTGTTAGTATTACCACTGAGCAGGAGTAGCAGTAGCAGCAGCAGCAGCAGCAGCAGCAGGAGCAGGAGCAGTCGCAGTCGCAGTCGCAGTGGCAGTGGCAGTGGCAGTGGCAGTGGCAGCCGTAGCGTAGCCGTAGGGGTAGGGGCAGGGGAAGGGGCTAGGGGCAGAGGGTAGGGGTAGGTAGGGGGGTCGGGGTGGGGGTAGGGGGTAGGGGTAGTGGTAGTGGTAGAGGTAGAGGTAGAGGTTGGGGTTGGGATAGAGGTAGAGGTAGAGGCAGAGGTAGAGGTAGAGGTAGTTGTTGCTGTTGTTGGAGGAAGGAGGAAGGAGGAAGGAGGAAGGAGGAAGGAGGAAGGAGGAAGGAGGAGCAGCAGCAGCGGCAGCAGCAATGCTTGTATTTTATTTTTAGCGGTAGTAGCATCCGTAGTCGTATAATGGCAGCACTCGTCGGCATTACCGTCGCAGTCTTTGTCGTAGTCGTGGTAGTTGGAGCAGTCATTCATAGTAATTGTCGTCGTCGCCGCTGTAGTCGTAGTCGTAGTCGTCGTTGCAGTCGTGAAAGGGGCAGTGGTGATAGTAGCAGTAATGGTAGTAGTAGCACTAGCAATAGAAACAGCAGCAGCAGGTGTTGTTGTTGTTGTTGCTGCTGCTGCTGCAGTTATAGCTGCTGTTGTTGTTATGGTGGCGGTGGTGGTGGCAGTGGGGGTGGTGGTGGTGGTGGTGGTGGTGGTGGTGGTGGTGGTGGTGGTGGTGGTGGTGGTGGTGGTGGTGGTGGTGGTGGTGGTGGTGGTGGTGGTGGTGGTGGTGGGTGGTGGTGGTGGTGGTGGTGGTGGTGGTGGTGGTGGTGGTGGTGGTGGTGGTGGTGGTGGTGGTGGTGGTGGGTGGCGGAGTTGTTGCTGGTCTCGATGCCTGGTCGTTATAAGTGTCGTTATAGGGAGCAGTGCTAGTGACTACTAGTGATCGTCTTCATTCTCCCTTTACAGCTGAGTTCTACTGCTACCGTGTAGTTTGACCAAGTCGGAGGCTTGTACACGAAATCTCCTCAGAGCTCAGTAAAACGTTTTCAACCCGTGCAGGTCACCAGCCAGCTCATCAAAGCACATCGCCAGACCTCCGACGCAAGCCAGCTGTTATTCAGCAGAGTGCCCGTTTGCTGTTCACGGTTTGGCTCACAGGCTTTGGCTAGACAGCGGCTCAGCAGGCCTCTATGATGTGAAAACACTTGTGTTGAGCTCCTCCAGAATACAGTAGCTACTCTGCCTTCGAGAGATGTTTCCGGACTGACAGATTCACTCACACTCACTCTCTCTCTCTCTCTCCCTCCCTCTCTGGCTTTCTCGCCTTTGCTCTATCTGAACGTGTAAGTCTGGGTCTATCTGTACATATATATATATATATACATTTATTTATTTATTTATTCATTTATTTATTTACTTATTTGTTTATTTATGTATACCTATTTCAAGATTGTATGTATATATCATATATCTATATATACATATATATATATATATATGTGATTATATATTATACATATTATATATATATATATAAGATATTATATATATATATATATATATATATATATATATATACGTATATATATATATATATATATATATATGTTTATGTGTATATATACACGTGTGTATATATATATATATATACGTGTATATATATATATATATAGATGCATATATATATATACATACACATATATGAATATATATTTGTATATATATATATATACATTCCTTTATTTATATTTATCTTTCTATATATATATATATATATATTATATGTGTGTGTGTGTAAATTGGGGTCACCCCCCGAGATCCACGCCTCTTCCACAAGACTCTACAAGTTGCTTCATGACCAAGCAGGTTGCAAGGGCCCCATCATATCGGTCTGACCCCGAAACCCTCGACCCTTGGTGAAGGTGGAGGAGCCCTTGTCTGACAGGGTGAAGCTGCTGGCTTTGCGTGCTGTGGGAGTCGCTCCACTGGATTGGCTTTTAAATTTTTGGGAGATCTAGATGCGAGCCTTGGACATGTTAATCCTAGCATGTGCGGTGCTGTAGAAATTCTGACTGATACTACAGGCTACAGTATATACCAGTACTGGCAACAATACTAGCAGTGCTAATGCTCGCTTTCTGGTGGTGCTGCTGCTGCTGCTGTTGTGGCCACGGCTGCAGCTACGGCTACTTCCACTGCTACACTGCTATTGCTACTGCTCCTGCTTCCGCTGCTGCTCCTGCTACTGCTACCGCCGCCCAAAAGCACGCCAGTACATACGGGATGTGGCGGGTGCACGATGCATACATGTAACCCTGAATCTCCGAAAACGCGGCCGCAGCGACTGTCGCCGCCTGCACCTCGCTGTCACATTAATCAGTTTGCTCCGAACAAAAGAGGACCATAGAGTTACCACGCTGTTTGGGAATAATACTGTAGTAGCCAATGTCGATACGATAACATCAGCGATATTGTGAACATGCGTGACGGCTAACCAACTAATTGCATGTTGGGTTGTTCGAAACATGTGTATGTATGTTAATTGTTAAAATTCATTCCAACCTCGACGGCCTGCACAGGCGTGCCCTTCCCTGTAAACTACTGCATGTACTCGTCTAGCTTCGAAGCAGAAGCCAGGAAAGCGCAACACTGATTTTCTGGTGCATTCGTAGAGGGATGCCGACAGTCCGCCTCGCAGACGCACCTGCGCGATCCTGCGCGACGCAGGTTTCCATCACATACAAGATGCAGATGCATCCAAACAGCCGCGTGCTGCTCAACCACATCGTCGAGCTCCTGGGATTTTCTGCACACCCCGATGTCAGTTTCACATGTAGATGCTTCTGGATCTTGTTGAGCAAGGAAGTTCATCCACACCACTCTCATCTCAGGCTTTTTGCCGACGAAAAGTTCGTCAAGCGGGCAACGGAGGAGTATGGGGACATGTTGGCAAGGCGTGCAGCGTTTTTGAACTGCGTTTTGCAGCTCACTTACTTGCTTGGTTCCCGCGTAAGCTCCGCAACAATGGGCTCCATCCGCTTGATTCGCCTGAACTTATTACTTGAAGGGCAGCACAAGAGCAAGGCGAAAACTGGATGACCGAGATCTCCGACAGAGGGTGTGCGGAGAGCATGATTCCGGAGACACACGTGCACAAGCTCATAGCCAGAGCGGCACGACCGGGCCACGTGTGCTGCGTGGTACGACTTTTTACCCTGAAGGGACAGAACAGCGTCGAGAAGAGTGGTAGGAACGGTAAGTTGGAGTGATATACATATACATATACATATACATATACATATACATACATATATATATATATATATATATATATGATAGTCCTGCTTCGAGTCCTTAAGCAACCAGACCACTGCTCGTAGAAACGTCAGCAGAATAACAGGTCCTTCCCCTCCTCATCATCATCAACGTCACAAGCATCGTCGTCATACTACCCAGGAGCTGTAACCGCATTATGACAGTTACCCAGCAGAAGCTGCACAGCCCAAACACCCTCCCCGATACGACAACTGCGGCGGATAATGCAAAGCCACAACCAGAAACTCCTTGCAGCAACAAACAACGACAACAACAAAAGCAACAACAGCAACAACTAACGCAACAACAGCAACAACAGCAACAGAGACACCAACAGTAACAACAATAAGAGTAACGGCCGCAGCCGCTACAACAACATCATCAATCAACATCAAAACCATCACGACAACCAACACCACCATCGCCACCGCCACCGCCCATGCCGCCGCCACCAAATCCACCACAACCGCCACCACCACCGCCGCCACCACCAACAACAAGGAAGGCGTTGCGTCTGCTGTTTGGCAGCATTTTTTGCTCAAAAAGCTAGAAGACCCCGCTTTTGCGTGGTTTTCATCAACAAGACGATATATCGGAGGGTAAAATTTGTGGAGTTCTTTGTCTTGTGATTTTGGTCTGTTTTTTGCCGAAGTATCGCAAATACCGTGTTTTCGTGTTTGATTTATGTTGATCTCCCTGCGAAATTTGGAAGTTTTTGTCTGGAAAGCTTGAAAAACTTGAGGTTTTTGCATGGTGGACGTTTCGAGAGTGAAGCAACAAGAAACGGGAAGCACCAAGGGACATAGCAACTCGTAGCGTTTGAAAAGCAACGTTGCAACAAGGCCAACAGGGAGCAGCACTGTCATGTTCATGGTCATGTGCGGCAAGAACTATCCTCATGTGTTGAATGTTGAAGAAAACGAGTGCGGAACCAGCAACATCAGAAGCAGCGTCATCTGTACATGATCACAGCTACATTTTCTTAAATGTGTGCTTGTTGTTGCAGCCAATAGTACTGAAAGTACTTTTTACTACGAACCGAACCGGAACAGAGCAGAATGAGACGAACAAGAGAAACGGAAAGGAAAAGTCGCAGTCGCATGGTCGTCATCCCCCCCCCCCCCCCCCCCGCCCCCCCCTTCCCGCCAACGAACCGAACCGGAACAGAGCAGAAGAAGACTGACAAGAGAAACAGAAAAGAAAAGTCGCAGTCGCACGGACGTCATCACCCCCTTCCCCCGCCCCCCCCTTCCCACCGACGAACCGAACCGGAACAGAGCAGAAGGAGACGAACAAGAGAAACAGAAAAGAAAAGTCGCAGTCGCATGGACGTCATCACCCCCCCCCCTCGCCCTACCCCTCCCCTTCCCACCAACGAACCGAACCGGAACAGAGAAGGAGACGAACAAGAGAAACGGAAAAGAAAAGTCGCCAGAGCAGAGCACCCCCAAGCCGGCATGCGCAGAAAGTCGAACGTCGGCAAAACCACTGCAAAAGCCGATGCGAAATGGGAGAGAGACAGGAAAACACCGAAAAAAACGATGCGAAATGCAGAGCCGAACAAAAGTTTGCCGAGTGGAGCCCGCCGGCGCGGTCACTTTCTTGGTAGAAAACACCGCAAAAACCGATGCGAAAGCAAAAGCAAAGTTAAATGTCAGGTGAAAACGTGCCAAAACTCGAGTTTCAGCGCATGCCAGCAGAGGAATTGCACCACCCCGCGCGGCGGCAAACGCAACACCTACCAGCAACAACAACAACCACGACCACAAGCACAACAACAGTGTCAAAAGCAACAGCAACCACAACAGCAACTACTACTACTACTACTACCACCACCACCACCACAATAGCAGCCACAGCAAAACACCAATAATAACAACACCAACCACAGCAACAGCAGCAACAACGGCAACAACAACGACAAATGCAGCAGCAGCAGCAGCAGCATCAACAGCGATAGCAACAGCAACAGCAGCGGCAGCACGCGCAGCGGCAGCACCGACACCAGCACCAGCATCATCGCCATCATCATCATCATCATCATCAGCTGCGGCAGCAACAACCCTTCACGGCCGAAAACAGCAATGTTTACAACTGCAAGCCTCGAACCCCAAAACGCACCTCTAAAACCCTGGCCCTGGCAGCCTGGCATATCAAACCTGATTTGTGGGTTCACCCCGGTTCCGGCATCTCGCGGCTCGGATCTTCTTTTCCAGCGACTGCTCTTTTTTTCAGACCTTCGATGCCTGGAACCCTGAAGCTCTGAGAGGCCGCAGAACAGACGACTGGAGATCTGCACCAGCACAACATCGCGAGATCACTCAAAAACTGCAGTGGGTAGTTCGGGGCCTTGCTCGAGCTTCAGTGGTCTCGAGCGTTTTGGAGGCAGCACACACAATAAATGCGATCCAGCCCTTCAAAAGCTGAAACCTATTCCTCAAACCCCATAGTTCAACAACTCAGACCCTGTGGCTTGTGAAGGCATGGACTGAAGCCGGGCAAGAGTTCCCGCTCTTTGGCGGCCAAGAGCCAGGCCTTCGCCGACTCGGAGTTCATCTTTCACTTCCCAAGGTTTTGCACAAATGCTCAAACCAAACCACTTCCTGTGGTTGAGTTATGTGTACAACGGATAATCGGGTAATGAAGATGGCTTTGGGATGTAATTACCGATTTGGAGAGCAGCAGTGGGAAGTGGTACGTTCGCAAAGCCGCTTCCGACATTTGCTTGCTGGAGATGTGTTGGGAAAGCATCACTGCTTGAGGTAAATATCAGTGCGCGGCTCCTGAGCTTACATGTTTCAATCGTTTGGAGGTTTCGCCGGTTAACCAGAAGACCTGCGCTGCGGCGCCCATGTTCATCGCCCATGCTCCAGGATTTTGAGTATGATCACGTCAGCTTTAGAGCATCAGCGTATACGTATTTTCAGAGTTCAATCAGAAGCCCGGGCCTGGATCGGCTTTGCTTTAACCATAGGAGTCTTCTGGAAAATTACGCCATTGGGAGTGCAATTGGGCCTCCAGTCGTATTATATCTTAGTATATCCTGCAGTGATTCTCGATTCTTCGACACTTGCAATGTGCCTTCGAACATCGGCTCAGCGCCCGAAGCTGTGGCCAGGCCTCGGCACGTACCACACGGAGCTGCTGCGGTCGGTGACACTGACACCTTTAAGTTGATAGGGGTGTCGAACTAATTTGGGCTTCTGAGATTCTGGTTCGGTGTTCAACCATTGCCTTTGACAACGCTGGCACACTATGTCATCATGTCAAGTCGACCCACCCCACCCCAACAGAACCATTCCAGAAAGTCGGCAGCACTCCAAATTCCCGAGCATTTGGACATGTTGCGAAAACTCTGGTGAAGAACGTTCTGAAAGTTTCTCGCAGGAAGGTGAACGAGGCTTTTCGGTCCTAGGTGTTTGGAGATGCAAGGGCCAAGCGTTTGCAGCCGAATAGGCTTAGCGGCTTAGCGCTAGGGCCTGCTCGGGGTTTTGTGTGCTGGCACTTTGGGCACGAACAGAGCTTTGATGTTGGCGGCTCTGACGCAGCAGTGTAGGCTAGTATAAACTTGGACGCTGTTGGGAGCAAGACCTTCAGTAGGTGTACACGAGTTACCTCCAGTGCCTTGCAAGTGTCAGGTTTTTTTTGCGAATGGACACCACATCGCCTTGCCTGGCGAGTTTCCCAATGGACCCGCTAGCTAGGCTCAAAATTTCTTGAGCAGAGCAACAGCAGAGGAAGACAGGTGCAATCCTGCTACAAACTTGCGATAAACTTGACATGTGTTTGCCTCGAACTTCAATTCTGTTGGCCACCCTTCTTTCAAATGCAGCCAATGAACAAGTCAGACCCGTGAATAAAATTTGGGCCCAGCAATGTCGCAGCTCACCGAAGAGGAAGTCAAGGGCTTCTTTCGGGAAGCCGAGGCCTTCGCTGTCCCTTTTCACTGTTGCGAGCCTCTACTGCCGTTTGCAAGAAAGCCCAAAGAGCCTGTTTATTCAATGGACATCCTAAGTAGCATGCCGCCCTGAGCCAGACCCCATCTCCACATCTCGCTAACATAAATTCGGTTGCTCTTGAATTCAAGGTCAAAGGTCCGGTAATCCTAGCTTGATCTTTCGTCAACATGTTTAATAGCATCGCATGCCTGTTTCCACCAAAGCCAAGATGTCTGCACAAACTCGACTCTACCTACGACTAGCAGAATGCAGTAGGGCAGCTGCGTTTGTCCGGCATAAACAGATCCGGGAGAATAGATAATCTAAGCAATCCTAACCTGTCGGTTTCGTTGCTTGTGCTATATAGCAAGATGACTGCAGGCTAGGAAAGAGTAGAAACTGAAATGCAAAGCGCGCATGCAGGCACCTTGTGAAGGTCCTGTCACACAGATTCTTAAGCACACACTAGAGTCCAGATTTTTGCATGTAACTCACACCTCCAAGCCCAAGCCCAAAAAACCCGAACACGCAAGCCGTAAGCACGGCAACGCCCCAAAACGCAAATCCAAACTCGCAAAAACCAAATGCGTAAACCCCACATCCAAGAGGCCGAGAACCTTGGACCACACAAGTTTGAACTGAACATGAAAACACTGCAAACTGGGACGCCACAAATAGCTCGAATCCCAAGTCCCGCACGACCCAGAACCCCGAACCATGACCGTTTAGACGAAGGAGTGCTCACCGCAGAATTCGAAAACAGTCATCAAACTTCCACTCGCAAAACTTGAAAACTTTTCATTTAACTCCCGGGACCCAAGGCCCCAAGCACGTGTAGAACCGACCTCAGGGTACAGACAGCCGCGGTGCCACAGCGGAGGAGCTGAAGAATGCGGAGGCCGTGCAGGTAGATGCCGACAAAGAATACTCAACCCTTTGGCAGAGATAGTGTTAGCATTGCTATACTATTAAGGGTATTAGCAGCAATGCGACCATGGCAAGACTCAGCAGCATTACCAGAATTTCTGACAGTGGTCAGAACAGACGTCGGCATCGTAGTCGTCGTCATCATCGTCATCACCGAGATCAACATGACCACCAACATCAATCTCGCCATCATCACCACCATCCACTAAACTACTAGTGCCCCTACCAATACTGCTGATACTACTACACTCCTCAGTACTATGCCTGCCGCTACTACTACTACTACTACTACTACTACTACTACTACTACTACTACTACTACTACTACTACTACTACTACTACTACTACTACTACTACTACTACTACTACTACTACTACTACTACTACTACTCACATCTGCGAAGGCTACAGGCTGGTATCAGACACAGCCCCGACATTCGCCAATTGGCCTCAGATCTCCCTATGCCACAGCGCGTGGAGAGCTCAATTACGCGATGCCCTGTCAGATAGCAGATCAGCGGCGGGGGACCCGGCAGAATTTGTGCCATCACCAGCCTGCACCCTGTGCAGGCTGCACTATCATCAGTTCGCACCGGATCACACCGAAGGGGTGGCTCATCCTCTCCAGGAGACCGACCAGGCATCTCTCACAAATCCTCCGAAACCCCAAGCACCCCTGCATCCGGATCTGGATCTACACAGCCTGGATTAGCCTCTATACGATGGCGATTGTCCCCAGACCTTCGCTGCGACCAACACGGTATGAACGGACCTGCGGAAAGACATTGAGGTCTGTGCCTTCCGCTTGCCATTATGTCCTACAGCTCCGTCTGCCTCTCCAGCCGCAGCCCCCCGTGCTCAAGCAGCCCCCCACTACCCTAAAGGACGATCCACTCAATGCAGAGCAGAAGAAACGACGCACACACACACACACCCTCAGCTCCCGCTAAGACGAGCCACCCCGGTCCCAAATCCGGGGACCGAACTCAGATGCAAACAATAGGACGCACCCCAGCCTACCTAAAGGCCATCATCCTAGGATCTCAGCTTCTGAGTTCGGCAGGTGCGAGGGTTGGGGAGAGAGTCGCGAACTCCCCTGAAGTCGCTACAATTGCACTTCGAAGGCCGCACAGTGCGGCAAAGCTTCGCGCGCCACCTACTTCAGGCGATACCGCATCGCCACTTGCTGCACCATCCTCTCCGGTCAAGAAACGCTCCTACGCGAGGTTCCTGAAGCGCCTTGCCACCACGGGAACTGCCCGATACAAAGGCCAGGTCTACCACTCAGACACTGTCAGACAACCTGACCCCCATGCTCAAGCCCAGTTGTCCACACAGCCAGAGCCTGCTACCTCCCCGAAAAGGTACCGAGCCATCTCCTGGAACGCGGGCGGCCTTAGCACCGCCAAACTCGATGAAGTATATGTTTGGATGCATATGGAAGCCCTTCAAGGCAGACCGATCCACATACTTTCCATCCAGGAGACCCACTGGACCTTTACCAGCGAGTGGCAGGCCCAGGGATACTGGCACTTGCACAGCTCCCTGGATACTAAAACCCGCAGTGCAGGAATTCTCCATCTGATCCACCAGGACTTGGCTGACACCCACCAGGTGCGCACTGACCATGTTATCCCTGGCAGACTGCTGTATACTAAACTAGCCACCGAGCCACCCATCTCTATCATCAGCCTCTACCAGCACTGTTGGTCCACCAACTCCACCGCCACCCCCACACAAGAAAAGCTGCTCGAGTGTCGCGAAAAAGTCTGGAGCAAACTGTCCAATCTCATTGGACGGATTGCCCAACGCCACCAGCTGCTAGTGCTCGGTGACTTTAACACACAGTGTGTCCCACCACCGGATGCACCCCGACTGGCACGCACGGCAGACCTGCTAGATAAAACGGTCCCACCCCAGAAGGACTACGGAAGACTTCAAAGCCTCCTCAGGGATAATCAACTCCTAGCTGTCACCACCTTCGGCCGACAAGCCAATGCCGCCACCTACGTTGCCGGAACAGGGCCCTCGGCAACCCGGACCCGCATTGACTTCATCTTGTGCAGGGAAGCTCAATCAGACCGAAGCACGCGACGGGCTGGCGCCCTGAGGAGCGCTCCGTTCGTTCCACCACAAGGCAACCGCCACCGCCCCCTCGAAACCACTATGCCTTGGCCAAGTCACCGCCTACTCCCCAAAGAAAGGCCTTCCCCATGCAAACGTTGGAATGCTGCATCCACACAGGCTGCGTTAGCTGCAGACCCCTCACTTGGCCCGAAACTTGCACACTCTGTAGCCTCGGCAGGCCTCTCCAGGACTACTCCAACAAAGCCGAGCCACGACGCACCAGACACCGCCCTCACTGTTAAAGAGCTCTGGCGCCTAAAGCGACTCAAACAAGCACAGTCTACGACTACATTTGCGCAAAAAGCCCAAGCCCTTCACCTCACGCAGCAAATTCGCACGACACAAAACATTCTCCACAAACGAGGTCGTCTTCGCAAACAAGAGCGCCTTGACAACATCCTCAGTGAGGCGGAACGCAGCGCCACCCCGGGAGCCCTCTACAAAGCCACCAGGCTTTTGGCACCAAAGACCCGACACTCCCGCATCCAACTGCGCGATGCGGATGGCATGCTGATGTCCCCGCAGGAGGAACTTAAGGCCATCCGTCAACACTTCGAGGGCCTATACCAGACAACCACAAGTCGACCCACACCACCACAACCCGCTGTAGACCTCCACTTTACTGCCGACGAGGTGAGCAGTGCCCTCGCGCGCCTCCCAGCCCGGAAAGCCCTTCCACCAGACTACATGCCTGCCCGCGTGTGGCAAGCCGCCTCCACGGCTATTGGGCCGGACCTAGCGGAAGGACTGAAGCACTGTCTCCAGCCGCCGACCTACTGCCTACCCGAGGACTGGCACCGTGTACATGTATGCCTCATTCCAAAGGTGACCATGGCTCGTCTCCCGAAACAGCTGCGCCCCATCTGCCTCCTCCCACCCGGCAGTAAGATTTTAGCCATGATGCTGGCAGACCGTATACGTGACAGAGCCGAAGCATACATCCGCCAAGCGCCACAATTCGCATACGTCAGCAATCGCAGCACCACGGACGCGATCAGCCGTGTATGCAGCCACTTGCATGAAGCGCGAACCCTGGCTGCTGCCGCTGTTCCCAAAAGACATCAGCGCCACTCTGGCGTAACCCCCTGTCAACTTGCCGGGGGTCTCTCGCTAAGCCTAGACGTTGACAAAGCCTTTGATTCGCTGCCAAGAGAACAGCTTGTGACTTCAATGCAGGCAGCTGGCCTGACATCAGAGGAGGTAGCGCTTGCACTCCACATCCATGACCAGGCCAAGCTCACCTTCGAGCTGGCAGGGCACAAAGACGAAGTCGAGCTCTCACAGGGCATACGTCAGGGCTGTGGTCTCTCGCCCCTCTTGTGGTCTATGGCCACCACAAAGCTCTACCTAAGGTTCAAAGAGACAATCACTCACAAGAAGGAGATATTGGGAGAGCCCACCCTCTATGCCGATGATATCTGGTCCTCCTGGACCATACGGACACAGGAACAATTCCGTTCCAGCCTGCGCGCGGCAGGCATACTGATCCAGCTCCTCCACGAAGCAGGCCTCCGAGTGTCGCCCACGAAAACCGTCTTCCTGCTCAATCTCCAAGGTACTGCGGCCAGAAGCACTCTTCGCCCCAGACTCACCAAGCTGGAAACAGGCGAGCCCGCAATAAAGCTTCGCGTAGGTCAAACCACTATGCTCATCAAGATAGTAGACGCCCATACCTACCTGGGAGCCAGAGTTGCTTACCAGAACCATGAAGCTCTCAACCTGCAGCACCGACTGCACCTTGGCTGGCAGGCCTACTGGCGACTGGCCAAGGTCCTCCGCTGTCGAGCACTGACCCTAGACAGCAAAATCCGCGTCTGGAAGACATGTGTCTACCCGGTCGTACTTTACTCCCTGGAGGCCACAGGCATCACCCACCACTCCCGCACCCTCCTCTCTCAGTTCGTCCACGCTCAGCTCCGCCTCATCCATAAATTACCGGGCCACATCACCAAAGTTACCTCCCACGACCTACTCCTCAGAAGCCAACTCGAACCGCCAGGCGACACCCTTGACCAGCGGATCCAACGACATCTCCAACAAGCCCCGGAGTTTCCAACTGCGGCGCAGGAAACCTGGTTCGACCTGCTGCAGGACTACTCGACGACGCCTGCTGTCTCTGCATCCGACCCTTCTGCCTCTATGACCCCTTCTCGGGGAGGCTCTACTCGCGCCCACCTCAAGCCCATCAGCAGCGTTCTCAGCTATCGGCCACTCAGCTGCCCAATCTGCGGAGTTGGCTATAGCACCCTTCAGGCCGTCCGTCTCCACATGCGGAAGTCCCATCACACTCAAGTACGACAGGCACCTGCCTCCTCGGACTTACGCCCAACTCCTGCTCAGGCTCCGGACCCAGATCACGCCTCCTCTACTCCAGCCGTCATTATGGACCCAGATGCTACCACGGCCCCGGCCTCGCTACCTGACTTCGCGGCAGATGAACATGCTCTGTTTGTTTGGCAGCATGGTCGAGAAGGTCTCCCACAGTGCCGACACTGTCTCCGACAGTGTGATTCGTGGCATAACTTACGAATACACATCTCCACCAAATCCTGCCGAACTTTGGTCCCAGACGGCTTTAACGCCCTGCCCCCAAAACACAATCTCAACCCGACTCCACTATACCACAGGCCTGAATGTCAGCTTTACCTAGTCGGAAGTTGGGAAAAGCTCGCCTCCTGGCTGAAAAAGATGCTCCCTCAGGCAGTCCACCACTGCCCGTACTGTCACCAGTGGCTGACCCAAGCGCGTGGCCTTCGAGCTCATATTAAAGCCAAACACTCCCCAATGATCACTTGCTGTGAAGAGGCAGTCCAGCGCATGCAATCCCACCGCAGGCTTTTGGC